TTCAAGCCAGAACTCACCCATGTGGCTGGCTACTTTCAGTAGTTTGGGCAACCCATGATTCTCCCTTACTGTTCCACAAACCAGTGTTTTGTTCTTCAATAAGAGTTCAGCTGTAGACACGCTGTTGTAGTAATTATTTTGGTAAATATGATACCAAGAACCAAGAAAAGGCCGTAAGATGGATGATATCGTCTGTTGTAACTTTTTGCCTTCACCCCTGTATATCTCGAAGTTGCAAATATAGCCATTCTCACTTTCACAAAGCATCGTTACTAAAATTCCATATTTTGTTATTTTTGCCGGATTGTATGTCTTAAATCTTATGCGTCCTCTCCATTGAGTGACAACTGCTGCTTTGCTATATGTAAAGATTGAAGTTTCGAGATAAAGTGATCCAAAAGAGGTCTGACTCTGTAAAGACGGTCTTTGTTACATGTTGTTTGTGAATTATCATTCAGATGAAAGAATGTAAGTATTTGCTCTAACCTCTTAGGTCATAGTTTTTGGAACTATGGATGACTCAAAGGATTGGTTGACAAGTAATTTTTCCATTCTGGCTTCTTCATTAGTCCCATCAATATAATTAAATCAAGAAACTTATTTATCCTATATAATAAAAGGCTAATATGCAAATTGACCAAACGGCAGAACCAGCAGTTGCAATGACGTACACTGACCACAGAGGGAGTGCCGTTCATGGCTGGTGAGTGCTGCGGTGGTGGCAGGAGCCTCTCCCGCCTCTGTGGCAGTGCTAAGACGTCAGTTGGACATCCCTGAGGGCTTCTGGGCTGCAAAAGGGCACTGGCCAGGCTTAGGGACATTCTCCCCCCCTCCCCCCTGCACGAATCTCGTGCACCGGGCCTCTAGTATCTATATAAGTAACATCCATCCATGTTGAAGTTTGAGCAGAGGTTTTGCACTATTTTTGTATTTGGTGATGGTATAAATTGGTTTGAGACATAATGAGATAGAAAAAAATCCTTATCAAAAAATAAATTGGTTGCTTCACTTATACTTTAGGGGTCTTCAAATGGAACAGTTGTGTCTGAAATATTTGTATAATCCTTCAAGGCTGGTAAAATGTCTTTTTCTGCCCATTCTTCAGAATCACTTTCACTGTCAGAGATACTATCACATTTCTCTTTTGCCTTCATGATGGTCTAATGTCAGACTCATTACTATCTTCCAACAAAGTACTGTCTTCCAGCTGACTATCAAAGTCACCCAGCCAATCAGACAAAGTGTCTGCACATAATTCACTCAAATGTTCTTCTCTGCCACAACATGTCTTTTTTAAAACTTTTGCCAGAATAAAAGATGGATGGGAAGAATTAGATGTATTGCTTGTCACGTCTCAGAAAATACTGACTGATGAGTTGAGAAAAAGACACGAGTTAACTTGTGACCAGTCAGCAACGTTTGGGCACAGAAACATGAGTATACTTGTGACCAGGTGTTAAGAGCAGCAGTAGGCAACATGGTTTGGTGTGCTTTTAATCATTTCAGATGGGATCTCTGCCAAAGGATAGAGTTAACACTTGTTAGGCTTTCTGGAATGAAGGATATGTAGTACAGGCAAGTACACTGGCCTTAAAGCTATTTTCAGGGCATTTTCCCTTAATGACGTATGGGAAGGTTTATAGAACAATTAGAGGATGTGGAATTGTTCTTGGCCACTGTTTAAAAAAAAAAAATTCTGCCCAACCTGTTTGGCTCAGTGGGTAGAGCGTCGGCCTGCGGACTCAAGCGTCCCAGGTTCGATTCCGGTCAGGGGCAGGTACGTTGGTTGCGGGCACATCCCCAGTGAGGGGTGTGCAGGAGGCAGCTGATCGATGTTTCTCTCTCATCTGTGTTTCTAACTCTCTCTCCCTCTCCCTTCCTCTCTGTAAAAAATCAATAAAATATATTAAAAAAAAATTCCATCATGTGGAAAATACCGAACATTTACAGGAACATTTGGGTCAGAATGACATGATTCCACTTTGGTGGATTTGTTGTAATCTTTTGGGGACATTAAGAAAAGTCCCCCTAAGGATTGCTGTATTCGTTAGCACTTGCTTTTCTTCTGATTATTAATGGCGTTTTGTGGATGCTTTATCTGGTTGTGCCTTCACCCCTATGTATCTCAAAGTTGCAAATATAGCCACTCTCACTATGTGCTATTAGCAATACCATTTGTTGACAAAGTACACGGAGATTTATGATGATCTGATCATCCTTGATAAAAACCTTAGAATCACTCAGAAGTCCAAGTGATTAATGAGGGGCAATGGTAGTTTCTATCAGGTTAGAGTAACTGGATTCATAGACACCATGAGCCAAGTCACTAGCCTTCCACAGTCTGAGCACAGAGGAATGCCCAAGGGACAGTCTCAGTGCCTCACAAAAGGCCATCAGCAACAAGAGCACAGATGGATGCATTTCAGGGCTCGCCCTGTATATAACCATTGGCCTTCAGTACTAACACATATTACAAAAGTATGCATTTCAAAGGAGGACACCTTGCCACATCTCCTGCCCCACAATCAAAGCGCTTTGTTGGTTGGCAGAAAGAGGCTGGTCCTTGGCTGCTTCGTGCACGTAGCACGCTGGAACTGAGAAAAGGAGCTGGCCTTCGAAAGCCACACAGAAAGCAAACCAAAGCAACAATATTACTATGCAGTAACAATTTTTAAAAATATACATTTTTATTGATTTCAGAGAGGAAGGGAGAGGTAGAAACATCAATGATCAAAGAGAATCATTGATCGGTTGCCTCCTACACACCCCACACTGGGGACTGACCAGGAATTGAACCATGACCTGGTTCATAGGTCGATACTCAACTGCTGAGCCACACCGGCTGGGCTGCAGTAACAATTTTGAAGTGCATCGTTTTTACAAGAGAAGGATAAAGTGTGTTTATGGAGAACTGGACAAAGTAGTGACAATGACTGGTGGTGTTCAGCGGGAGCCACTTGGCATCACAGAGCCACAGGAAAGTGTTAAGATAATTTAATATAGAGCAGAACTCTTCTCGGTGAGAGTGGGGTAGACAAGTTGTTCTTGTTTGTTTCACCAACCAGGAGTGGTCTGCAAGGATTTTCACAAACTAGTCTCTCAGATTGCTGAAAACTCATGTCACGTGCCCACATTATTTTACCCCTGCCCCAGATTCTCAGCATATTTCATAATTTGTGTTTCCTCAGAAGTGCTTATAATCTGTATAATCTTCTAGAACAGCGGTCTCCAACCAGTGGTCCATGAGGTCCGAAAGGTTGGCGATCTCTATTCTAGAATGGAGTCCACATTCCTCTTGGCAAGAGGATAGACAGGTGTATTTTGCCTGATAATGAGCAAGGCCATGGTTTTAGGTCTTGAACTTCATGTCTGTTTGACAGTGGCGGTAGGGAAAAGCAGGCCTGACCAAAGGGGTTTACAGGGTAGTAACTGCCTCACCCGAGATAGCTTTTCCATCCTATGTGCATTTTGAGCTCTACTTTGTGTACTGTCAAATCCGAACTGTTATGGAAGCATTTGAGTTAATAGCATCCATTCCATTGAAAAGACCAGACCTCGGGCAGGTTCAGGCCTGATCGAAAGTGATGAGATGAGAGACAGTGCTCTGCGGCTACTGTCCAGACTGTATCAATCCATATTTCAGATGACAGCTGAGTCACCAACCTCACCAAGCCTCAGTTTCCCTCCCTGCGATGGGGGCATAGTACTGGGCTTAGAGGTGATTGTCAGCATTTTATTACCAGGCTGTTCTATGAAGCCCCAGTTGGATGCCTGCACCTGATAGGAGCACAGTGAGTGAGATTCCTGGTGGCTATTACTGTGAGGCCCTAGGGCAGCCGTGGGCAAACTACGGCCCGCGGGCCGGATCCGGCCCGTTTGAAATGAATAAAACTAAAAAAAAAAAAAGACCGTACCCTTTTATGTAATGATGTTTACTTTGAATTTATATTAGTTCACACAAACACTCCATCCATGCTTTTGTTCTGGCCCTCCGGTCCAGTTTAAGAACCCATTGTGGCCCTCGAGTGAAAAAGTTTGCCCACCCCTGCCCTAGGGGCCCCTTATACTCCTCATCAAATGCTTACAGAGCACACACCTGTGCTAGGGCTGTGCTCACAACTATGAGGCTTTCTCATCCAGGCTTTGATTCTGGGTCCCCATCATAAGCCCATGCTCCTTTGTGCAAATCAGTCACCTCTCTGCCCCTGTCTTTTCATCATTAAAATGGAGATGACAGTAGCACCTCTCTCAGGGACTGCTGGCAGGGTAGAGTGTCGTGGTGCCCGGCAGGAGCTTGGCATGGTGCCCAGCCTGCACAAAGGTTGGTATGAGGCTGGTGTTGTCACTGTTAGCTCTTAGCCAACAGGCAGTTCTGTATTTGTGTTGATTACAATGCTTTCCTATTGAAACCTCACTGAGATCTGAACGGAAGAACCCAAGGTTTTGGTTGGGAAGTGCTGAGGGGAGGGTGTGATTTTGAATAGTGGGGCCGTAGTGGGATGAGAGTAGGGACAGGGAGGATGCACTAGGGGCCAGGCGAGAGGGGAGGACAGGAGGTGGAGAGAGTGTCAAGGATCCCCTGACGGGCTGTTGTTCTAAGGTAGCCCAGTGCAGAAGGGCAGAGGGTGTCCAGCTCCTCCTTCCCGTGTCTTGCCTAGGTCTTCAATGTAGGACCATGTTTTTGTTTAATAGAATTAGTAGTGTGGTGGGCCTAACGGGGCTAAAAGGGCCTCTGTGGAACCCTGACACCAATGACAATCTCATTTTCATGGGAACATGCATTGTTTCCCGAACACTGAATTCCTGCCACACCATATTCATAAGCGGGGGATTGTGTGGTTTTGGAATCGTGTGATCAGACTAGCGAGACATGGCTAAGGCTTAGGCATCACCCTGCTTCCCTTCCTCTCCCCCTCCCTTTTCTCCTCTCCCTCCTGTCGGTCTATTTCTATTACTTTGTGATTTCTTGACTGTAACGTCTAGTAAATGTTTCTTGTTACAGAGTATGGTGTTTGTGAAAACTTACGGAAGCTGGAGATCACGGGTGTATCTTGTCGAGATGTCTATGCGAAGCGTAAGTTAATCTAATATCATCTCATCCATCATTAATTTTGTTCCAAGAGCAGGCACCTTGAGCATCAATGATGGATAATAAATTATTTTGACCGAAAACCTAGTTCCATTCTTAGACCTTAATTTTAATGTCATAATTGACATTTTTATTTAATTTTTTAAAGATTTTTTAAAATTGATTTTTAGAGAGAGAAGAAAGGAGAGAAAGAGGGAGGAAGGGAGAGGGAGAAAGAGAAACATCTGTGTGAGAGGGAAACATTGATCAGTTGCCTCCTGCATGCCCTCTACCGGGAATTAAGCCCACAATCCATGCATGTGCCCTGACTGGGAATTGCAACCTTTCAGTGCACGGGACAATGCCCAACCAACTGAGCCACATTGGCCAGGGTATAATTGACATTTTAGAGACAGCACTGGTAGTAATAGCACTAAAACGGATGGGGCCTCTCTTCTCCCTTTCTGGGCATGTCAGTACCCTTATTTTTCAACCCATAACAGGATATTAGGTGTCAAGGACCTGTAGATCGGAGAAACATATCTACACTGGGAACAAACTCGGGTGCTTCCAGAGGGGTCCTTCTCTCTGGATTCTGGGTCCATGGCCTGATTAGATGTGCGATGGCTGATAGTAACCGGGAAATGGAGCCGTGAGCCTCCCGCTGACTCCCTCAGCTAACAGGCTGCCTGTGGAGCAGCTCTCCCCTCCAGCCTGGCACTGGGCTCCAGCCCTTCAGTTCAGTCTTCCCTTCAGTTTCCTTTACTTTCCAGAGTCGTCAGCAACACTCCCTGAGTGCTCTGAGCTTCCCCAGCCCCAAGTATCTTCCCAGCTGGCCTTTCCCCTGGGCCCCTTTGTAGGAGGCTGTGAAGGCTCCTGTTAACGCTGATGTGGCCCAGGAGCAGCGGAGGCACAGGAAGCAGCATGCTCACTCACCACCCACTTGGGGTGTGGCATGGATTATTTTAGCACCCGGAGGTGGGGATTAAAGAACAGAGTAAGAAAGATAATGATGACTCAGTTCTCTTTGGCTTAAAGTTGACCTGTTGACCATTCTGAAGAGGGCCTTAAGTGTTCATCTTAAAACCATCTTAGAAAATTTTGATTTTCACGTTCTCCTGAACTTTCTACCCAGTTCTCCATTGAAAGAAGACCAGGTGATGTCTGCTTACCAAGCACCTCACCCAGGAACTGAGGGCCACGCTTCTCCAAGGAAACATCTGGGTGCTCCAGGCTTTCTTGCAAGGTCTGGGGACTAATTGGGGCCACTCTCTGAATCCCATCTTTTCCGTGGATTTGTTCCTCTCAGAGTCCCCTTCCGAGACACCCCTCCTTCACGTGGCTGCACTCCCAGGACAGCTAGAGCTGGCACTTGTGCAGAGCGGCTGACCGTGGGAAGCCCAGGCGGTGTTCAGTCTCTATATCTGGGCTGATTTCATCATCTCATCGCTTCCTCATCCCATCAGACTCTCCACACTGTGATCCCCTGGCCATTTGGGAGTGTTGGATTGGTTAGTCTTTCTGTGTTAGAATTTGCTCACACTTCAGGCGATTTCCTATCAAAAGGCTCTAAGTCCCTCTTCCATGCACAATTCTTGGTGGCTCAGCCGTGACTGATTTCCTATCAAAAGGCTCTAAGTTCTTCATGGGGCTTCCTCTTCCATGCACAATTCTTGGTGGCTCAGCCGTGACCTCCAAGTTCTTGTCCCCTCTCACCTGCCTCAGAGAGACTTGGAAACTTGGAAAGGCTGTTGTCGGGGCCTCTCTGCCTGCCACACATCAGCTCCGGTTCTGCTAACTCCTAGCACCCCCTACTCTTCCCTCCTGTGGACCTTGGGCTTCACCCTTGCCCCCAGCCACCATTTTCACACCTGCTACTGCCTCCTGAGTTACTGTCCCAGCCCTGGGCCCCACTGCAAAGCTGATCTGCTCAAGACCTCTCTCCCTGCTCCTCCATCCCCGTGCACTTTCAGACTTTGGTTTCTTCTCTTGCCTCTGCTTCACACCCCACCAACCCCAGAAGATGTGCGTCTCTCCAGAGGAAGTGAGTCTCGTGGAAGTAACCCTTCCTGTCCTCTCATCTCATCAGCAAGAACAATGTCTGTGATTCCTCCAAAGCCCAGAGTTTCAGAGGCAGGAAGCTGGTTGCTCCCTTGCTCCCCTCCTACCCTTTATTCTATGGGAGCCCACATGGGTCTGGCTCCACTCTCGATTTCTCAGTGTTTTATTCAGAGCTCAGTGTCTTAAATCTAGCCAGTCCGTAGAGTTGGAGGAATTCACTCTTGCTGTTGGCATTGGTGTTAGAGTCAGAACCAGGCACTCCCTGCAACAGTCTGTACATACACACAAGAAAGCTTTCCTGGCTCTGTGGATGTCCACTGGCTTTTATGAGTATCTAATAGGACAAGTTCTTATCTTTGGGAACTGGTTTTTGAGTTTCCTTGGCCATTTGATGATAGTGTCTTAAAGCAGCATGAAGACTGTTCTCTCTTGAAGAGTTGTGAGTCTCAAAGTAGTGTCCTGGAGCGGGCCAGGTGCTCACGTCTGCCAGGCATTAGGGGCTGTGACACCCAGAGGACAGCACACCTGGTGAATAAGGCCCCCATGGAGCTCGTCTCAGCGGTGAGGGAGGGGTTGGCTGGGCCCTGCTGGTGGCTATCCTATATAGAGAGGGTACCTGGGAACAGGGGGGCAGGGTGGCGGTGTTTGTACACGAAGACCCAGGGAAAAGCCCCGAGATGGAAAAATCTACCTCCGTAAGCGAGAGCAGGGAAAAGAAGGAAGAACAAGTCTGGCCACTCTAGTCTGGTAATCAATGGAGTTTATTAGGGGAAACTTACAGACAAGGCATGTCACGGGCAGCTGCAGGATGAAATGCATCTCTGCACCGCTTGACAGGCACCAAAGAAATATATGGGGTAGAGGGGAGATAGTCACATTCTAGTATGTGAATGCTACCAGGTACGGGAAACACTTTCCATGCTCTTCCAGGTCAGGGCAACAACCTGTTCCAGAACCAGCACATAGCAAGAGGCAAGGGAGGGTGCTTATTTATATCTGAATGAACATCATTATTTTTTTTTAAATATGTTTTTATTGATTTCAGAGAGGAAGGGAGAGGGAAAACAACTTAGAAACATCAATGATAAGATAGAATTATTGATTGGCTGCCTCCTGCACGTCCCTTACTGGGGATCGAGTCTGGTATTTGGGATGTTCCCAGACCAGGAATCGAACTATGACCTCCTGGTTCCTGGGTTGATGCTCAACCACTGAGTCACACCGGCTGGACTGAATGAATATCATTTATGATCAAACAGTCTCTAAGGGGGCTTTGCAGAAAGCAACTTCCGTTCTGGCTCAGGTTCAGCTTGCAGGACAGACAATGGTCATGTCAAGGAACAGTCTTTTCTCTATAGGTGGGTAGTGACTGCTAGGGAGCAAGAGATGGTGTGGCCAGAGGTAAGTCAGGAGTGGGCAACAGAGAGGGGACAAGAGCCATGGCGAGGTCAACAAGCACACATGCGTGTGGGGCATGGGTGGACAGAGAGGGACATCTGGAGATTTCTTTTGACTGCTGATTCTTTTATTTTTTTTAATCCTCACTGGAGGATATTTTCCCATTTATTTTTAGAATGGAAGAGAGAGGGAAAGACAGAGAGAAATATCGATGTGAGAGAAGCACATTGATTGGTTGCCTCCTGCATGCGCCCTGACCAAGGCCTGGGCTGGGGAGGAGCCTGCAACCAAGGTACCTGCCCTTAACTGGAAGCCAACCTGGGACCCTTTGGTCCACAGGCCGACACTCTATCCACTGAGCCAAACCGGCTAGGGCTGATTCTTTTAAAAAAATTTTCATTGTTACAAGTGTCAGAGATATCCCCTTTTCCCGCACTAGCCCCCCTGCACCCTGCTCCCGCCCCCTTGACTGCTGATTCTTGATTCTTTGAAAACAGTCAGGAAATCCAGAGAATGACTCATATAATCTTCATTTAGTGTCCCAAAGTGTTTAATTTGCCACCAGCTAAAGCAGGTTTCACAGTGAAGGCGCATGTTTTTGTGAGTTTGCTTTGAAGGCCTTATCCAGGAGAAAATTACTTAGCTTCTGGAGCAGGTGGTGGAAGAAAGTCAACCTTAGCCCCTGGCATAGGTGGAAGAGTGAGCCAGCCTTGACTCAGAAGCGAAGCCTCTGAGTGAGGAGCTGGCAGATGTCCAAAACAAAACAAACACGAGCAAAGGAAAGCGCTGGGCACACACTATACAAGCTGAATATCTTAGTTGGGGCACAAGGGCTCCCTAAACAGTCACTCCAACTGTCCACAAGCTGCGTCCTCTGCTTTCCCACCTCAGTGAGCTCCATTGACCAGGACAGTAGAGGGAGGAGAGTGAGCATGAAGAGTGTCCCAAGCCTGTCGCCATCATGAGTTTCTGGTGTGAACATATATCACAACGTTTTCTTTCTAGCCAGGCCTCTCATTTTTGTCAAGTGCTTGCCTCCTACGGTGCCGGGGGTTGAGTAGGATGGTGGTGAGGGAGCAGGTGTTGAGTCATATGAAAACTGTTTATACCATTGTGAAAGTGGAACCATCCTTAGCCCTTTCCCTGCTGTGTCGTTCAGGTATAAACCCTCGCGTGAAGTCGGGCCGTTTTATGAAAATTCTTCCCGATTACGAGCACATGGAGTACAGAGATGTGTACACCTGCCGTATGTACCTCCTGCTACTTTGGCTGTGGCGGGGGAGCAGGGCCAGAAGCTGCTTGGAGAGGGACCTCTAACTCACAGCACGCAGATGCTTTGGTCCTAACGGCGAGCTGACCGCCTTGGCTTTTGCTGTCTTTTCACCTTTCTGCAGCGTTCTCTGTGGCTCAGCCATGACCAGGGTTACATCTGAGTGGTGGCTAGGGGCTACTGTACATATGGGCCAGGTTTCTGCAGCATCTTTTGTTTTTGAGGGAGTATCAGCATGATCACTCTGTTGATGCACATTTTAACATTTATTGAGACTGAGAGGACAGACAGAGTAGAAATGAAATGTAAGTAGTTTACTTCTAGGCTTCTTAAGTTGATCACATTTGGACAGCATATGTGAATTTGAAAAAATTACATAAACATGAACCTATATATATCTGTCTGGAACTTATATCTGAGACTGAAAATGGACAAAAGTAGTAGAAACAGTTCATTATTTAGAATCTGATTCCTCTTTTGTTGTTGTTGTCGCTAATCCTCCCCTGAGGATATTTTCCCATTGATTTTTAGAGAGAGTGGAAGGGAGGGGGAGAGACAGAGAGAGAGAGAGAGAGAAACATCGATGAGAGAGAGACACATTGATTGGTTGCCTCGCCCCTTTGCCTAGACTGGGGATCGAGCCCGTAACCAAGGTACATGCCCTTGACTGGAATCGAGACTGGGGATCGAGCCCGTAACCAAGGTACGTGCCCTTGACTGGAATCAAACCTGGGCCCCTTCAGTCCACAGGTCGACGCTCTATTCACTGAGCCAAACCAGCTAGGGCAGAACCTGATTCCTCTTGATTGGCATTACTTGGGCTCTGGAAATTTTCCTAAGCCATAGTCCACAGTGACTAAGGCTATCTCCACTTTTTATTAGGTTGAGTTGAGATGGAGATCATGAACTTTGGTTGTCAAGAAAGATACTAAAACTATCTGCATGAGCTGAAAGCAGTTTTTACGTTTGTAGAAGTACAGAGACAACCCTGCTGCTTACTCTCTCAGCCCTGCCAAGTGTGCCCTGTGACAGCATCGCCTGCGTGGACTAGACCCACTTCTAAGTCTTTTAAGTGTACAATTTCTAACAAAACCTACTCAGACCACAAGGAGTAGAATCATCTATGGAATTTCTCCTAACCACTGCCAGGCTCTGGACATCTAGCTAAAGTGCTCGCTGGTCCCACTTTACTTACTCCAGGGGAGGTGGAGATGCCAGGACTGATCAGCCAGCTTTGGGGTGGTGTCTGAGCACTGTGCACTACTGTGGACACCACCCACAGTGTTGGTGTAATCAGGCCCAGAGCTGAACTGCTTGAGTAAAGACCATGGCAAGGGGGACATGTAGGAGTGTGTGTGAGCAGTCAGGAGTGTGTGAGAAGTCAGGAGTGTGTGTGAGCAGTCAGGAGTGTGTGTGAGCAG